TGCTCAGTACCAGCTGGAGAACAAGGACAACCCATCCTATCCAGGTATGTACCCACCTTTTCTCATCTGTTTGGGGTGTTGCCATTGCCAGCTCAGTCACAGCGGCACTGGCTTTTGGTATGCAGGTTACATCGCCAGCAACAGAAGTGCTGTTGGCTCAGTGAGACTCAGTGGCCTAGACTGTCTTTCTAGTGGTATTCTGCCTGACGGACAGGAAATCAATAGACTGGCTGGTTCTGAAGGGCCTCCTCTTACTGTTGTCTGCTTTGATGTTTAGACATGACAGAGACCATTCATGGGCAACTGTGGAGTTAAAAAATTGAAATAAAGGAAGAATATGAATTTGCATAAGTAGCACTTAAAGGACCAGGGAAAGACAGGAGATTCTGTTCCCATGCTGCTCCTATCTAAGTGACTTCTGATGTGTTGCTGCTTTCTAGGATACGTGTGGAATATTCTGTCACTGTCTCTGCAGGGGATATGAATAACATGTTAATGGTCAACAAAGTTGGAATTAAGACAGAGTTAGAAATTAAGAGAGATCAACCATGTTGGGAAGTGCATTTAAAGTGCTGTTAAAATTCCATTAAGCGAACAGGGTGACTGGAATGTTAATTCAGGTGGTTTCCATTAACTACTGAAATATTAGCTTGGCTGTATACTTGAAAGAAGTGATGATGTTACTGTAGCCATTGTGGTCTTAAGCCAAAGCAAGATTCGTAGGTGGAGATAATATGTGTTGTTAGACCTGGAAAAATCTGACAATCTTACCACTTCAATTTCTTGTCCTCGCCTTTTTCTGTCTCCAGGGCTGTCTTTCCAAGACTTCTACCAGCAGTGTCGGGAGGCTTTCCTTGTGAACAGTGACCTGACACTCAGGGCACAGCTGACAGAATTCAGGGACCACAAGCTCATCCGGACCAAGCGGGTGAGTTGAGGGGAAAAAGATAATTCTGGGTGTTCAGCCACCTTAAACAAAAAAGATGCTTACTTGCTACTAAGTATCCCTAAGATACCACTCTGCAGCTGGTTGAAATTCTGCAGGGCTGAAATTCTGTAATTGCAGCTCTTTCCATGCCTCCAATTTGTCAACACCCTTTACATGGATGGGGGGCTGTATAAATGCAGTGTGCTTTGGTTACTCAGCAACCTACAGGTCTCTTCTTCCTGAAGACCTTGAGAAGTAACGGACTCCGGAGCCTGCCAGTCTGCTTCCAATAGTTGCCTGTATTTGCATGAGGGGAGAATGCAGGCCACTCCTAATAATGAGACGGTACAGCAGGACTAGATACGGGAGCACAGTGTTGAGGAGCTGTGTAGTGTCAGACTAGCATAGTGCATCAACAGATTTCTCATATACTGACTTTTCTCAGTATTTGTGCATTTCTGCTGTTGCTCCAGTGAAATATTCCTGGTTTTTAGCAATGCAGTCCTTCTGAATGCTGGCCAGCTCTCCCCCAGACTGCAAATAAACATTAGCATTGCAGTGCTATCTAGTGGCTTGCGTTGCACTGTGCACTGGTGTTCACAGAATGTCTATGCATGTCTCTTCTCAGGGAGCTGATGGTGTGGAATACTTATTAATTCCTGTAGATGACAGTACCTTGACCGACTTCTTAGAGAAAGAGGATGAAGATGTATAACGTCTCTGTTCTCAAAGCGTCTACGGCAATTTCTCTTTTAAGGGCTGCTGGAGAGGGGCCTATACTCGGATCTCTCTTCCTCCAACCCCGAGGCTGCTGGACTACTTACTGAGATGTGATAATTGTAATGAACAATGCTCATTGTTCAACTACTTCAGGTAGTTTGGAATGATGACTTCTGTAAGCAAGGCATCTCTTGCTCTGTAGTTAGGTTTGTCTGCTTTGTCTCTTAGCTCAGATGATGCCTTCTTCATATCTATGCAGCCAACCTTAGAGCCAGAAAAACAAACTTGGTAAGATTGTGCCTTCTGCTCTCTACCTCACCAGCCAGGAGGGTTTGATTGGAGCAGTTTACTTGGGAAGTGCAAATCACTAGATGGTCAGAGCTTTAGTTTGTACTAGTGGTGCAACTTTTCTCAACTGAGTGCTTTCCAGTACTCCTTTACCTGCTAGACAAGCCTAGCTTCCAGTGTATGAAGAAGCCAAGATTTATAATGCTAAGAGACCTGCCTTGACTGCATGAGGAAAGGAGAATACTAGTGGGTTTGGGACACTGTGGGTAACTTATTAAATTCTGGCAATAGAACTGAAGGACTTGCCCCAAATCCTTTTATAAGAAGATTTAGCTAAGCAAAATTCTGATGGACTCAAGTCGTTGCCTGTTGGTGAGGGTGAGAGGGTCCAGCTTCTTTCATCTACTTACCAAGTTGCAATCCAGGAATATGAAGAGACTGTGAAGTTTTTTTGTTTATTTTTTAAAAGCTTGATTGTATATATGTATTTTTTACATCAGGAGTGTCCACTGATCCTGGAGGAAGCCTTAAATGCCACTTATAAGCTCTCCCTTTTTTTAAGCCCTTAGAGGTTGGGAGATGGCTGAAGTCTGACAGCTTTTCTTCACTTTTTTTTTCTCAGGTATGTGGGAGTAAGCCCTATAGTTCCATCAACTGTAGTCTGCCAGCCAGACTTCAGGGACTCTCTATGTCTAATATTTGGTAGCTGTGTTACAGCTCAATGTTGTAATAGTTCAATCAAATAAAGTACTTTATTAATTTTCATTAGCTTGTCTTGTCTTCCACAATCTTTTTATATTATAGGAAGATAGAGATCCTTCTGGCAGTTGTGTGAAAGCCTCATTTTCATTAATATGTCAAATATCTGTGCAAATCCTCATGCAGTGTGCAGAAGATTTCAAATTAATTAGTAAAAATATTTTATATTCTTTCTTATAAGGTATCGAAATCAAAAATAGTTTGCCTGCCTTTTAATACCAGTATATAGCTTTTGAAGAGAACCAAAACATCACATGGAATAATATTGTTACCTGGTCTACCCCTTACTGACAGAAGCAACAAGCAGAGGTTTACAGCCTGACTTCTGTTTGTATGGAAAACACAGGGTATCTACTTATCCCACTGACAATTTGATTCTTCAAATATAGGACCTAATTAGCTTTGCTGGAGCGTCTGATGGGGAAAACTGGTACATGCCAGCAGTACTCTCCAGCTTCTTCCCCCAGAACATTTTCCAACTGACATTCTCTTTGGGTGGCACTTGCATCTGCATTTTACAGGCTGCAATTCCAAAGCTTCTCAAAATGCATCAGATCCTGCCTATCACTACTTAGGCTACCCTCAGAATCACTAAAACTGGAATCAAGGCATTGTGTCTTACCCAAGTTCTGTAAGTGAGGTGTCGAGTTCAAGAACAGGAACTCTGCCACTTGAAGAGACGTGCTCTTGGAAAAACTTTAAAAGTTTTGTAGCTAAGCAGCAACCGCATCCTATTTTGCAGTCCTTTGACTCTCTACACAGTTCCTATGAAACTCCAGATCTAATTTATATTCTGAGTACATACAGCAGACACCACCTAATGTGTTTACAGATAGTGATACCATGGTGCATTTTCAGTGCAATTATATCTGTTTTTTTAGATGTGAAATTTACTTCAGCGAAGCGCTATGATCACCCTGAGTTCAGAGTCATCCGCTAACAGTTTTTGGTAGACGACCAGGTGCCCATACTGGCCAAGAGGAGGGTTGCAGGCGATACCACACATCTGCTAAGAGAAGGTTAAGTTTGAATGAGTTTTTGGCTGCTGCTGACTCTCTGATGCAAACACGCAAGCTAAAGAAAATTACTGTGAATTAATTCCTGTGGGTTTCGTGTTAAAAGTATTTTATCCTGATTTCGTGCTGTTTCTGGACAATTACCCCATCTATGCATTAATTTTCTGTCTCTTGAATTCTGTGTATGTACTGAGGTAGTAGCATTTTAATGTCTTCTATAGCAATACAGAACTGCTGGATTTGGAGGGATCACTTCCACAGTCCTGTCCTTTACTTGGGAAAGAAGAAATTTCTTCCCACTTCCTGTTCCTCAGCTTACTGAGAGGTCTTCATGGTATTGATAAGAATGATGGCCTTTATATAGCCTTGGTAGCTTCAGATAATACTGGAGTCATCTCTTTCCACTTAAATGTAAGTGGAACAAGACATGCAAATACAAGGTAAAGACACTGCTTGATGAGCTAGTTTTATTAACTTAAAAAGATGGTGCCAAGATCTTTAAAAATTTGCAATGGAAATATTTTTTTGTTTTGTTTAAATATTCTTCTGGCGTGCACATAATCCAGACATGATATTTTCTTAAAAAAAAAAACCCACAACAAGAAAGTTAACTTAAAAAATAAACACCAAGCATTATCAGTGGTGAAAATGCTACTTGCTCGGTTTTAGTAATGCTGTAATTAAGAGTCATAGTTATAGAAACTGTTTTTAAAAGAAAGTAACAAAGGCACATAAAAGTCACTTACAGCTTTGTTAAGGAATTGAGTTTTAACCTGCCAAAGGTTTTTTAATTGGGAGTCCCTCTATTGAAAAGCCTTAAAGCTGCATTAATGGTAGACTGTGCAATTGAATACTAGTACCAAATACCTGAAATGCGTTCTATATTTGCATATGAGTGGTGTCTTAATAAAACTCTTAATGAAAACAGGTGATCCACACTCTTT